ACCCAGACCTCAGTACCCTTAGCACAGGTTATTAACCACCAGGCCACTACTTCTCATACAGTACCACATGATTAATGCATATCTATTAAAAGGCACAAAAACTCAGTATGTTGAGGAAAGAGCAATCACCTGAACAATGATGCCCTTTGAAGAATACTCTGCATTCAGGCATCTGCTGAAGAAATCAACAAACACCTGCCAATAAAAAAAAAGTTGTTATAGAAAAAGGTTTATTGTAAAAAAAAAAAAAAAAAAAAAAAAAAAAAAAAAAAAAAAAAAAAAAAAAAAAAAAAAAAAAAAAAAAAGCAAAAAACAGAAAAACAAGAAGACTGATGCAGCCCTCTAACCAACTGAGTTATCAAGGAAATTGGAAGCTATTAATTGCACAAGCTAAAAAAAATGCTGTTCTGTTCCGTAATCTGGGGAAAATAACAAATTTTCTTTCCTGGCCCCGTAACTCCTCTCATAATTTTTTCCATAGAACAAAGAGATAAATGTCAAGCATGTACAATATTAAGGATAACTGTTAGTCAATATCAATTAGGTGAGCAACACAGACCTTGGTCCCAGAGTACATGGACAGCAGTGGAGTAGGTGTCAGGCCTGCTGCAGAGGCTACATTTATTATCAGACCTCTTCCTCTAAAGAACAATGCAGATACATCAGGAAATAGTTACTCCTAATCAGCATAAATCTTATCATCAACAAAAAAAAGAACAGTGCGTGCAGTTTTGGACTCGTTCATAGGAAAGAAAACTTGAAAATTGTTTTTACCAGACCTAAGAAACAGATTATTTTTCTGGCATGATTAGGTCTACATACATGTACATGTACAGCTGTAAAGGAAATACACTACATTTAATCTATTCTATATCAGGTTTTTTTACTTCCCAAAAGCTATCTTTATCTAAAAATAAAAAAATAAAAAAATTGACTTCTTGCTGGCACCCACTCCTATCTGACACACAGACTGTTGTGTTACTAATAAAAGCTTGCTAGCAGGAGTCATCACAGGAAAGTAACAGTAATGGAAAACACAAAGCAGTCAAAAAGAAGGAATTATGCAAAGGTATTTTAACTCCCATGGGACAAAATGCCAGTCCTTTGCAGGTAACAACCTTGAGGACTTTTTCAGGCTTCTGTAACAGTTCACTAATATCTGTTTAAATTCCTAGGAGAAAAAATGCATCTTGAACAAGAATGCAACACAATTCCCTGGCCTGATCTTGGACCCAGACATCACAAACTGGAGTCCAGGGCTCTCAGCCTTAGCCACCCCATGCAAAGTCTAAACAAAAATGAAGCTCCAAAAGAAATCTTAAATGTCCACAAACTTACTTGGCGGCCATGTCTGGAAGGATAGTGTGAGTCATCTTTA